AACGGCAATTTATAAATCGAAACAGCTGAATTATTTAATTGTTCTGCATATTATAAATCACTATTATGTGTGCGATGATCTTGCTTTTTTAATAAGAAAATTTTCTTTTCAATTATCGTTCAATAGAAAACTAATAGAAATACTTCTTTTAGATTGAATTAAAATTAGAAATAGTGAAAGTAGTCAATTGTTCTAAATAAGAACAAAGCATAGATTACATACTGAGTGGATGTTTTTGCGAATTTTTGTGTGTGTAACATAATTTTCTCCAAGATAGTCGTGAGTAGAATATTTTTAAATATTGGAAATTCTAGTCTTAAAGTTTTTTTTTCTTTTTTAAAGAAATTTTATAGTTTGACGTTAATTATATTAATATAAAAACTAAATTATTTACTGCGCATTAATTTGACTTTTTATTTATGAATCACGTAAATCATAGATTATTATTGGTAATGTAATAGTCACAGAAATGAAAAGTTCAAGTAGGAAAGTTCTATCTTAAACAATTAATTGATATTTTATTTTTGCACGTTATTTACTTTTCGAAAATACTAAAATATAAATTTATATTCGTGACCAAGCATTAACATTTTCATAATTTCAAGAAATATAGTTGTATAATAAGAAATAACTGTTCATTTTAATTTTGATTGGTACATATAAAAAATTTTTGTTTATCAATCTGTGACAACTTCCGAACAGTAAAAAAGAAAGAGCAACGATAAAAAGAGCAAAATAACAAAATTATAACTAAATAATATAATTTTTTATTAATATTTAAGTTTTATTTATTGATAATAATAATTACATTTTTTATGACTTGAATGTAATAATAGAATAAAATTTAATAAAATTTAACAATTCACTTTATTTAATATTAATTCTATTATTAATATTATTAATAAATTAATCGAGTTGCGACATGAGATTATAACCAAAAATATAAGAAAATAAAATTTCATTCAAATCAACGCGACTTTCTTTAATGCTGTTTGACATGCATATGGAGTTAATATTTCCGTACATATATTCCTACGATCAATTGAAGTAATTTGACAAAATTATATATTTAAAAATTTCTTGAGGCTTTGTACAATATTCGTATCTATATAATAATAAATAAATTCATCAAAAAATGTGAATTTATAATGAAATAGTAATGTTAGTCTTCGCGCATAGACTTGAATTGCCGAAAGTATAAAATAAATCACTTAATAAACAAATTATGATATAACATTATTTTTTATTCTATATCAATTATAAGTTATATATATTGACATTGAATGGAAATAAAAAAGTACTTGTGAGATATTAAATTTCATTGTCATATTTTGAAATGATATGGTTGGAATGGAATTTATTTATCGTCTATCATTTTATTTTTGAGAATCTGAATAGAAAAATAAGCAGTTTGGTTAAACGTTTTTCTAAAAATTATAAAAATTATTTTTCATAAAAGATTTATAATTGTACGAGGTTAAGTATATTTTTTAATTTATACATATAGGAATAAGCAAAATAGGTCGGTTTGTAATCCTAATTGCAATACTTTCGTTGGAATTTGCAAAGAAGTTTCTCGTAACGGAAATTTAATAATTAGGTTGAATGCCTTTTAAGCTGGTTTAAAATCCATGTTTGTTTTTATTAATTGACAAAAAAGATTATTTCTAGGTAAATTAATTTTCTAAACACTGTTATTTACTACATCCGGCTATCGAGTCGCAGGAAAATAAAATTTAATAGATATGCGTTTCTCATTGCTCCATCTTCTATTCAATTTCTACATTAACATTCATGGCTATTTTCGTTAACCCGTTGTATCTATCAGCAATTATAGTTTTATTAAAATTTATCATTCCAGTAAATAGGATATTATATCAAATTGATATGAATCGTTTTATATCTTGAAAGCTCTCGTCAATTAGTATCAATGACTTGACTTAGGGAAACTCTTAATCGTAAGAATGAATCCTATTTCACGGTTAGAAATTGGTAGTCGTAGAATTATTGTCCTTTGTAGAATGATGGTTGCTGATGAATATCGAATTATTAACATACACGAACGTTATTTACTTTAATAATAAACAGTTTTTATATTAATATTATTAATTGTGTGTTAATATAGACCGTAAAAAGAATAACAACGCTCGTAGCTGTAAAAGAAAGCGCTAATAACGATTATCTTTTACCGAATTACTTACATTTCTAACCTAAAATAAATTCAAAAGCTTGCATTAAATGTATTAAAGCTACTTTCTCTTGAAATAAAGGAACAGTTTCTTTTGGCTCGATGTTCACATGTCGGCTAAAGAAATTTTCAGGCTAAAATGTTTACGAAAGCAGAATATTATGTATGCAGGGATCATAATAACAATATTAGGTATTATAATAAACAAGTATGATAATAATGATAATAATAATAATGATAATAATAATAATAATAATAATAATAATAATAATAATAATAATAATAATAATAATAATAATAATAATAATAATAATAATAATAATAATAAAAATTACGACGACGATGATGACAACGATGATGATAATGGTAATAATAATGGCGATAATTACAAACATAAATCCTCTTAATTGATGCATGCCGTGTCCATTCGAGGTCCAGTTTACTTTAATAATAGCATGGAAAATATGTCGGACGAATGAGGGAAAGCGCCGCTCGGCTGCAACACGATTGATAACGTCATTAGAGCGACGACGACCAGGTTCAGGTTGTTCTATATACAGGAGCCGTTATCGACGCTACGCTAAGGTAGGGGACGCGGGCGTAATTTTCCTGGGATTGAAGAGGAAGTAAAGAGGGCCGCGGGGAAACGACCGTCGGCGTTGGTCTTCGATAAAATGCCAGGATACGCATTAGAGATGGCGCGGATCTTCGTCATCGACTTGCATTTCGGCTGTCCGGCTATAATCTATCTCGAGACCGAAAGTTACACTTGATATTGCGATGTCCGTACACGAAGAGATGATTTCGCCAGGGCCGAGATCAAAGCCTCCTTTTATTAGCGACTAGCTTTGGCGGTAATAGGCCAATTTCCTTTTCCCAGGGAGAGCGGGCGATTGCGTTTGATCGGGGTTATCGATAGGAGTGCACGCGAACTTTTTGAGTAATCAAATTGTCCGAACGCGAGAGCAAGCGAGAGCCACGGCGCTTGACTTTCTAGACACGGAAGCCTCGTTATTTTGTCCTCGCCAAGTGTCTATGGGATAGCTTGGAATTTTTTTCAAGTACGCCGATACTTTGCTGCTCGCATAGCTTTTGTGAGGAGTACGAATCACTGAACTCCTTCTCCGAGCCCTTTGGCGCGAATTCTCATAACCGTTATTTTCGTATCGAGCCAATAACGCCATTTTGCTAATAAGATGTGTAGAGAGGTGGTTAATGAGATGTTAGAAGCTTCGTTTCTGTCGCGTTTGATGCGTTGACAATGCATTTCTATGCCGTGGGAAAATTTTCAAGAAATTTCTGAGCCATATTCTGAAGCGCGACGCTGAAAGCCGTAATAAGGAGTATATATTTACAATATGAAGTTGGCATGAATAGTTATAAGACACAAAGTTATTCTTCCTTTTATGTTGTCGTGGCATACAAATTGAGTTTAGTAATGAATGTTTACTTTAAAGGGCTTGACATCTAGGCAACTTTCTTAATGCAGTCATTGTTTTCATAAATATGATTGATATCGGAAAAAGTATGTCAACGTATACATATAAAAGTAACTGGTAGTAGAAAATGATCATCGTCACTGTTTAGAGTACAAATAAAAGTATCTGTAAATAGATATTATGACTTCGAAATAGTTTTATATAATAGAATTATACTTCTTTTTTTTTTTATAAAAAAAAATGATATATATTCACATTATGTGCTCGTAATAATCCATAAATCATTTATTTCAAATTGTATTTATTCAAAGATGAAATATATATTAGCAGTTTAGGTATAAAATAATATTTTGTAGCGATACTCGTGAAATATCAACATGAGACAAAATCGTATTTTGCAACATTATTTACTTATTTAACTACTATAAGCGAAATATAAATAATATTTATATCATGTAATGATTAATAATAATTCATTAAACATTTCAGAAAACTATTGATTGAAATTTTTGTTAAAAATCCATAACAAATTAACTCACAATCTAAAATGCCGCTTGTTAATTTGGCCTGAAATATTTTAACGGTCTAATCAACCGATAATTTCAATTAAATAATTATTTGCTCGGGCTTTAATTTAATCATAAGCCATTTTCTTATAATCGTTGTTAATAATAGTCCTATTATCCAAGAACTAAATGTTCTTTATCAAATCAAATAATAAGTGTTTTAATGCTTAAAATAAAATAATAATTTCTAGTTTCCTAAATAATGTTTAAATAACATATATATATATATATATATATATATATATATATATATATATGTAAATTATGAATTTACAAATACAAGAAATTTACATAGAAGAAATTTACAAAAAAGACAATATTTAAAAATGTATTATTATTATAGAATCAAAATTACCAAAAGTTTATATAATTTCGAATTAATATTTACAAAATTTACTTTTACAACATAAATACAATAAGTATTTTTAAATACTCTAAACAATTAATATAAATGAAATAATTAAGTTTTTGTTATATTTACTTTTGTTTTCTTATCGTATTGTATGAAATTGAATAGAAAATCTTTTTCTTTTTCAATAATATTTTATATTTTGAAATATCGGAACGAAAATATTCTACGTGTTATGAAAAATTTAGAGTAACAGAACATAAAATTAACGATACTACTGTATTTCAATGGATTATTGTAATTGAAAAATATAGACTACTCGTGTTAACGAGTGAATCGAACAAGAAATTATATATACCTATGAGATTCCCATTGGATGTTGTACCATTGGATTACGTGTTTTACGCGGATTTGTTTTATGTATATGAACAAACGTGAGGTCGCCAGCGCTCGGAGCTGAGAAATGTTCTGTAGAGAATCGACTGAAAGTATGTATCTGCAGTAGATAAATCTACCTTACCAACAGAATGTAAAAACAAGTAATTGACGCATACAGAACTCGGCGATTATTTTATCATAAAATGGACAATAGCAGATGTAATTCTTTTGAAATTCAAACGCTTTAATTTTCATTTCCCCTTAGAAAGGTCATTATTAAATTTAACAGTCACGCATTAATAATATAGATAATATTTAATATCTTTTTTTTTTGTTTTGTTTTTCTGTTTAGATGAAAAGAATAATCATTCCTGGATTACTATTGAAACTATTTATATCTTTCACTGCAAATGGGTATAAACAATTGGATAAAAGACAAGGTACGTAATGAATTTGGATTTTCCACCATCGATTCCAAGAACGATTCCTATACTTAAGGCCAATACAGCATTGCACACAAAGGGCGTGGCTGGTTATTATGATGGGATTAGTTCGATGTTGGCCGCTAGCTGGCGTGAGATCGATTGCTACGAGACGCGTGAGAACGGCGGCCTTTGTGCATCTATTAATTTATTCGCCCCTTCAATCGCCTGTACGGCTCGGATGTAAATAAGGTCTTATATAGATTTCTTTCAACGACAAGATAATAAAAGATATTTTAATTCCTATTCTCTCGAGGAAATTAAATAGGTAGACCTTTTTCAACGCCATTTAAAAGGGATCGACGTTTAAATCAATATTAATTGCCAGTCAAAGAAATTAAGTAGAAAAAGATTTTATAATAATAGCATTATATTATTTGAATTAATCGTTAAAAAAAAAAAAAGAAAAAAAGAAAAAAAAAAGAAAAAAAAAAGAGGATACTACGAATTTTAGGTTCTAGTACTTAGGATATTTCAGCGGACTCTTCCTAAATGATAGAAGTATCTTGTTCGGTGATGACACTCCTGATTACTTTAGATAATGCAAAAAGCAACTCTATAGAAGAAGACAATAATGTCAAATGCACACTGATATATCGAATTTATTTTTAAGATATTCGGGTTGAGTCATCAGATTCAATGGATGATGATAATGATATTCTACCTCTAGTGGCAACAACGGAAATTGATATTTCGGACGATTTCGAGCAGAACGAAATTAGCGAGTACGAGGATCCGGTGACGAAAACGTATCATTGCACACTCCGAACGACGGGCGGCAACGAGACCTTTACGCCTAATCGCCATATATTAAAAAATCTCGATGATAATGGCATTGTTTCCATGCGCAGCAACAAGTTTGATTATCAGGTGATTTAGATTGTATTTATGCATGTTAAAGTTTTTTTATGTCCTACAGCACCAAATGACAGATCAATAAAAATATTCTTATCTTCGGACGGGTTGTTATGTTGAAGACTACTACTTTTTACTTCATCTAATAAGCCCAACTCTGAATATCTACTTTCCACATCTTCTGTTTCGCGATCGCAATTCAATACTGAAAACTTCCGATATTGGTATATTGTAAAGCGAATGAAATAATTTAACAGCTTACGGTGTATAGTATAATTTCGTTATCTCACAATAAATCGATTCGGATTCCATGTAAGGCATTATATCGAATGTATAAAATCGAAGATACACAAATTATTTTAAATCTTATCAACATTTATATACATCTGTAGAGAAAATAAATTTTTTTTAATTCTTATGATTTTGAATGAAATTATAAATTATAAATTTAATATTTCAGAAGACAAGATGCTATTTTTAAAACTTAAAATTAAAATATTCTTAATATTTTAATACTTTAAGCAATATTTTGTTTAAATCCTAAAAAGAACTTAAAATATAAATACATTTTAATAATAATATAATCTTATAACATATATATTATGATATTAGTAATAAATAATATCTTAATAAAATAATAAAACGCGCCTGGCATAGATGTGTTAAGTTATAATATTCATCGTCATACATAACAAAGCTCCATCGGTTATCTATTTTAGAAAACTTATCAGATTGTAGATGTATAACAAATGTAAAGTAATCCCGATTGCAATCATTAAATTATAACTCCATTGTGAAGATCCATTGACGGATAATGTTGCACGAAATAAAAAGAATACGTTAATTCGATAATCTGCTTTGGAGTAGTGAAAAACGAGAACAAATGATAAAATGAAGAAAGTGTGAGTGAAGGGGGAAGGATTGCAAGCAAAATTACAATGTAAAATGTTCACGCCTTTGCTACGAGTATCAATTATGTAAAAAAATAATTTCCTAATCTGTATTAAAAAAAAAAAAAAAAAAAAAAAAAAAAAAAAAACAATTTCTATTGTAATCGATATCTGTAAATTTAATCTAAAAAAACTGCTTAGAGGTTTTTACATTGGTTACAAATGGTTAAACAAGTAACTCAAATATAAAAGTTGAATAAAATATTCAAATAAAAAGTAGAAGCACGAATCGTACTGTAAATTATTTCAATGCGAACTTATTATCCATTCGTATTGGTACATTACACATAAATTAAGAATATACTTAATAACGTAATACATTATTATTACGTATAAATAAAATATATAATCAGTTTTAGAAAATGTTAATCGTGTTAAATATTTCGTAATAGTTTTGAGTATATAAATGTAATAATAATCTTTGATGTATTAACAGGCCTGTAAAATATTATGAAATTTAGAAATTTACGTAAGCTTTCCTTCTGCGTATACGATGTTAACGGAATTTTAAGTCCTATTTTATAATTTGATTTCCATAAAAACTTTATGTTGATTAAAGAAACGTTGCAATTATTCATTAACATCTTTCTCTGTAAATTTATGCTTTCCAAGCTATACACGCGTACTGCAAGCAAATTTTGCCATAGTAACCCTACGTAAATAACATAATAAAATTAATGAATTTGGGTTACGCAGCTCTTGCAACAATAAAATAAATTGTTGTTACGCTATAGATATTACTTTAACTAGTTAATGTACTAATTTATTGTTGCAATTATTACGTGAAGTTTAATATTACATTTTTTGAAAATGAGATAAAATTAGCGGCTTTTGGGGGAAAAAAAAATTGTGTTATTGTTACCGTAAATTAACGGGTAAATCGGCAAGGAAACCTAATGAATTGTAACGTGGTGGCCTAATTTATTCCCACTGACGCTCATACTTCTAATTTCTACTCCTTCCTTAATCTCGCATTTCTCATGCATACCAAAGCACGGGGCACCACAGCCCAATACACCCAATGTAGAAGCTCGCGCTCCAATTCCCAACTACGTCCGTAAGAACCTAGCTTACGAGTCGAGTAAGACAATTACTAAAATTCATGAATTTTTCACGCTAGGCAAAGACTCGCCAGGTGCGCCGTCGCATGTGCCAATTCGGCTACGACCCCTTCGGCCGGGACGCCTTCCTGGATCCACCCAAAGGCTCGATGCACAAGCGCTTCAAGGCCGCGCTGCGGCGCATCATCTACAATACGCCAACCTTCTTACCGAGCCTCCGGGTCGTGCGCAATGACCTCGACCGCAAGAGGAGACGCGAGCCCGAAATCTGGTGGCACTTCCAGCTGTCGGAGTCGTCGCTCGACGTCGAGTTCGATTACGACAATTACTTCATCACTGTACGAGGTGACTTCTCGCGCGTCAACATCTTCTCCAAGATCCTCGTCGCCCTTAAAGTCCATAAGCGACTGAACAATTTCAACGACTCCGTTAGTCGCAAGGCACGTATTTATTTATTTATTCGGCATCCATTTTTAATTTATTACCTTTTCTCATCCGGGGACGAGAGAATCGCGTGGCAGTAGAGAAGAGCGCCGTTCCGCAGCTTTTTCAAACTTCCGCTAGACTAGCGACATTAAAAATACGCGCGCTCGCGCTCTTTCGTCAACGATAATATTGAATATTTCTATTTATTTAGTTACCACGCAAAGTCAATGCCTTCGAATTGATTGGAAATACATGTAAAACCGATTGTTAATTTACTAACGAATTAGACACCTATGTAAGCTCTGCTTTTTCCACTTGCTGTAATTAAAGTTTTAAATTTTCTCTCCCTTTGTTGTTGTTCTCTCTCTCTCTCTTTCTCGCTCTCTCTTCAAATTAAAATTTAATCTCGCTTTGAGGTTCAGTTTACGAGAGTAGCATTCGGTATGGTTCAGCATCTAAAACCCACAACAATTGATTTCTTTTCGATGCTCTTCGACATCTCGTAATTATAATTAATACCCATTGATTAATATACCAAGAATTTACGACCAATAGATAATGATTAGAATGCGGCTGTTTGCCGAGCCAAAATCCATTTATAAAATTAAAAGAAAGTCTTGGAGGGCATAAACAAGTCATTAGTTAAAGCCCGAGATAAATGGTAATGAAAAGGTATTTTAATTTTCGGTTACTTACAGATCCAATCAGTTATTCGATAAAATAATCCTATGGTAACATAAGGCAGCGTCGAATTATAATATTGCCACGGTCTCGCTCTACACGAAAAGACCTTAACTTATCAAGAATTCTCGAGAGCTCTCGATGCAAAGTCATTAGGCGTGCATGCGACACCGTCCAAGACTCCCATCCGATAAATTAAGAAATAGCGAAGTAAAGCGCGTAGGCTCGAGCGGACCAATCGAGCCTTCGAGACATTTTGATATTTTCAGAACGGGTGCATTTATCGGCTATTCGGCTATCCTCCGTCGGATGTGCGCGCCCCTTTGTTCGTCGCCAATGAAGAAAAGAACGTAATGCGATTTAAAAGCCTCTCCGAAGATCTAACCCCCCCCCCAACCTCCCCCACGTTACTCAGAATTGTGCACGTCAATCGTCCTTAATACGTATGTGTGCTTTTCCCGAAGGTAAATCTGGATCTGGGCATCGCCGAGGTGATCCTCTCGAGTTTCGGACTCCAGATGATGCACGACAAATCCGTGGCCTTATTCATGATCGAGGCCCTCAATGGTATTAGGACGAAAACGAACGAGCGTTTGGACGGCGAAGTGCAGCTGGAATTCGAGGACAACCTTAAGGTGAGACAGCACGTACGCTATGAAATTCGACCATTCGATGGCTGCCTCCGGCCCACCCCACGTACTTTTATTTTTCCCCTTTGTTCGCGCCTAATCTCATGCGGAAGCTCATAGATGCTGCCCGCAAATGCCCTTTGAATAATCTTCGCCGGGAAAGAGGACATTAATAAGACGCGTAGGGGAGGCCGAGACTCTGTTGCACAAAGCGAACCTCTTTAGCTCGGAGCGATGTTTAATCTTGTGAAATGGCGGCTAGATAAAATACTACGCGTCACTACTAAAATCGTACATCGCAGTAAAGCGGAGCCGGTGATTTTTCACATTTTCTTACGGCTCAGCGAATTTTTCGAGTCAGCCTGTAAGTGCGTGCAGATTATCATTAATTTTCCAAACAATGGTAGTCGTCGCTTTACACATTCTTTCGTATCTTAATCTCTGAGCTTGTTTAACGCTTGCCAATTAGCTTCTCAATAACAAGCAGCTTAATATACTTGATATTACGAGTGCAATTATCGATAGGAGTGCAATTGTCCGTTGCAATTGAAAAAAGGAACTTAAGTAACTGAACAATATCTTTCTATCTAATCATTATACATAGCGTTACTCGCTGACATTATTTACGTGTAAATTTAAGTCATGGTAACGTAATAATAATAATAATAATACGTTCGTACCTCAATGCATACTTATCAATAACGTTACAAAGTAAAAGTATTGTTTATAATATTCTTGAGAATAAAAAGCTTTTGCAACATACGTATGGTGTCCCCCAAATACATATCGAGGCTTTTAGAAATGTCAAATAATTTTTATTATTAGTTTTCTATTGTTACGTAAATTTCAGTAACAAGACACTTTGCTTTTATGCACTTAACGCGTACGTGAGATGGGAGTTGTGTGTATTTAGTGGCCGGAACTCGGCGATTTGGTTGGTTCAACTAAAAGTTTACGTACCGCACTCTGCTATATGTGTTTATGAATTTACAACATCATATAAAGGCAAATTATATCGCACTTATAACTTAAATAATTAAGAAGTTTTTCAATTCTTGCGCCTTCTAGACTTTAGTCACAATGGCGATTGCGTCTAATTACACTTTAATTAAAAATTACATGACATTTTTGTTATATGTATATATATATATATATATATATATATATATCAAGACAGTACAATAATTTTTGCAACAACGATTATTCACTCAATGCAGTTGATAATTTATTTATCAGTTGAAACATAAATATACATACAAACAGTAAAAAAAATACATTTTCACGACACAACATTGAAAATTTAAATATCGCTCAAAGGGAAACTGAAACTACTGAAATGAGTTCTAAAGGAAAATTAATTATCTTCGATAAATTTTACTTTCACGCTTTCATTATGAAGTTTCATAATTATACAATAACAATAGCAAATAACGATAACAACAACAACAACAACAACAACAACAACAATAATAATAATAATAATAATAATAATAATAATAATAATAATAATAATAATAATAATAATAATAATAATAATAATAATAATGATGATGATGATATTAATAATAAGAATAATGATGATGATGATGATATTAATAATGATCGTGAAAATTTTGTTTATATTTTCTTAGAAATCAAAAGGACTCGGGGAAGAAAATACATTAATATTAAATATGTTCTTTCAAAATATAAATGTGACGTTTGCAATGTTTGGAAATCAAGTAATACTACTATCCTCTAAGTTATTCTTAATTATTTTTCTGAATATATGATTACTGATTTCTATCTTTACTCATTTAATATTGCTGCAATTTATGATTCAGTATAATCGGCGAGACAAGCATTTTCTTTATAAATTAATCGAGGTAAAAAAAGAAAAAATTGTAGTATAACTTAAATTTTAAAAATAATTTAAATATGATTTAAATATTTATAACGTTTTAATATTTTCTTTTTCATTTTAATCATAAATTTATTAATATGATTGTCACTTAACGCGAACAATGGTATTTTACTATTTTAATAGTCGAATATTTTATCATTATATTCATTACTTTTATTCATTTGTATAATAACCATACTTTTATGTTTTAATGAATCCTTATTCTAAATTTGCTATTTTATGAGCTATTTAAGGAAGCGAGAGAGAAATAGAGAGTAAAAGGGACAGAAATGAAAATTAATTATTGCTTTTTTATTAATAGGAGGAAGTAAAATACAATATTATAAGAATATTAATAAACGTAATATTACTTAAGTAAACAAAAAAAAAAGTCACATTTATATATTAAAATTTTTTTACATTATTATTATTGTTATTATTATTATTATAAATGGCCGCGTTAAATTTGTTTGAAAATTTTATCAAAACTGTGAATAATTTTACAGAATATGATGGCTATGTTGGGTTATGTATAAAATAATTAGAATTAATTTGATGCAAAAATTTAGAGTTGTTTAAAACTTCATATTATTTAAGTAATTGAAATTTAAGAAAATCTTAAATAACATTCTGATGATTTATAATTTAAACTTAATTTATAATATAAACTTTTTTAATTTGTGTAAAAATGAAAAGTAATAAATTAGTTAGAACTTACTGCAACTATTTATTAAAATTTACAAAGCCTTTTCTTTTTTTCTTCACGAAGGAATGCCTTATATTTTTTGACGTAAATTATAGTTTTCAATAAAGTAAAGCAGTGTTACAATATTAAATTAAGAATGTCGGCACAAATTTTATTTTCATGTACATGGGGTCTCAGGCAAACGCGTGCACATAACTTTTTCACTGTTACTTAGTAAATTTAACAATATAATAGAATTTATTATTCAGAAAATATTCAGATTTTTTTTCCATTATGTGTTGTTATTTTCCAGATAGAATAGTAATTTTATTCCTTTATATTTTTTTAATATATTTAATTACAATTAAAATTTTATTTTTTTTTTTTTTTTTTTTTTTTTTTTTTTTGTTGCGTCATAATTTGCTTTTTTATAATGTGATTTGTACAGAAAATATAATATTTAAAGTACGTTCGAATATATATTTTAAATTGTATTAACCATATTTTTGTATTTTTAACGTTTGTACAAATTTATTCGACGTAATTTATTAGAGCGGATAATTTATTGCAGTATGAATGAATACATACATATATGAATTAAAAAGTAACGTTTTCACCTGTTCACGAGAACCTTTACCCGATTACAGAATTATTTTTAGCGTACGCTGTCAAATATCCCTCATATCTAATTAGGAAAAGACATAAAAAACAAAAGTAAAACAAAAGAAAAGAATGAAAGAAAAGAACTTTTTTTTTTTTAAATAAAATATTGAATATTACAGAGCAGTAGTGATAAAAATGAAAAATTTTATTTTAATCTTTTAAGAAGATAATTGTATTTTATTAATGCATAAAATTATAATTGAATGTGGTATTTTATAAAAAATAATCACGGTAAAATGAACAAAATGGAAATGAAAGTTTTTCAGATTTAATTTTGTAAATCGTTGTAAGCCGTGTGAATTAGAAAAAAATTTTTTTTTTTAATAAATTATTGAGAGAAGCGTAAAGAGAGAAACATTAAAGCCAGTCATTTACTTAAATATATTCTTAATTTAAATTTCTTAATTTTAACGAACTTTAATAATTGTCGATAATTTCACTCATCAATAATTCTACATATTCAATTGCACAAGTCTTTTCGATTAATAGTAATAGTACGCGGATGTATCCACTATACAATTAGCCCTACGATATGGATAATTCCTATTTATCACTTTCTCCGTTGAAACTTTTAATGCACAAGAGTACATTTGAGTTATTTAATATTTGGGTAATGCTTTTCCATAAAAGATTTTATCATGTCTTCATCTAAAATAAAGTTTCATAGAACACATAGGAAAGAGTTGGCTTATTCGGTCGAAAAGATAAATCAGTCTACCGTACATTTTCTCAAAACTTTCGCATCTCACACCATATTTATTTTTACTCACTTCTGTTATGAACACAAAGCAATGCATGAAAGAATTTTATCGAGTTGCCGATATACATCAAATAAAAACTTGCAGTAAATTTATAAATTGTTGACGTTAGGTTTTGAATATTTTCTCGCAGATAGCCGAAAGCTTGTTTAAATCGCATAATCCGTGACTTATAATCCACGTAAATTTACTGTTTCGGTTTCTCTAAATCAATACTCCGTAAGAATCAATCTTTAACATATAAAGTTCAATCGGATCATCGAATGTATTTTTTTTTCTTTCTTTTTCTTTCAGTATGTCGATAATTTATCGCGTGCCGTATAAAACAGTACGTATAAATAAAGGTAAATGCTAGTAAACTGGCGAATTCCTTAGCGTTGGAACGGCCACATTAATACATTGGGTCTGTAGATTTTTATCCATACAATACGTACATATCCGACTTGGTCAGCTCTTGCCCATGCATTTCTCATGAAACAAGAGAAAAGGAAGGAGTGAGTAGTCGGAAGACTGTGGGGTGGTGGTGAGGTCGGGGGCTAGAGGCCGTTGGTGGGCGGGGGGTGACGGTAGGGCCGTGGTAGTAGAGAGAAGGAAAGAAAGAAAAGAAGCGAAAGGGTGTACAAAAGGGAGTCTAAGAGCTATACACGATTCTCGATGCTGTTGTAACCTCCCCTTCCCTCCTTGAAGAAAGCGGCGGATCGCGTGGATGATCTCCTCTACTCTTACATCTGGCTGCTCGCTATGGCCGAGAAGTTCGAGTTCGTGAAGAACAAGGACAGCAGGAGCATGGCCAGCCAGGACGATAGCCTCTCTCAGACGTCGTCGGAGATGTGAGGAAGGCGGTGATTGTCGCCGCGGGAGCGATAATTAGCCGATTGGACACGGCGATACTGTTCTCGTAGGTGGTGGTGCTCGCCCGGTAATTGAGCGGAATAATTAACTCGCGCTTTAAATTAATGCTGATTTTCTCAACGTGGCGCGCACTTTTTAAACACTCGCTGCGCGCACGGCTTATGGAAACGTCTTCGCAATAATTCTCGTGCAATAGAAGTCGCTCGCGGAGCCCGCGGCTCTCCACCGTTAACGCTAATAATAATTTAATTTCGCGGGGACGACGGGGCGGGCCGGAGTCAGGAGGACGTGAGAGGGGCGGTTGCCGAGCTCGAAATTCGTTAGCTACCGTCGCACTCGATGCGGGAGACCGACCTTTTTATTTTCTCGAAATGATAGATATACGCGCCACTGTTCGATGCACTTTAATTTGTGAAACGTCGGATATCTAGATTTGCATACTTCACGTGTACGAGCGCGCGTTTCCATTTGTTGGCCTGTGTACGCGATGCGGAAAAACGTGTTTCGACTAAGTAAGATTAAAGCTGAAATTACGGTCACTCCTCCTGAGAAATGTTGAATTGCAGCGGCAGAAATCTTAACCAGTTACTGATATCTCTGCTGGTCGTCGTTTGAAAATCCGCACGAGAGAGAAAAACAACGAGATAATAGTTTCTTTTGTTTTTTTCTTTTCTTCCTCTTTCTCTCCTTCCTTTTTCTTCCCTTCTTTTTTGTACATTCGATAAGCGTATCGTTAGTTAGTACAGTGCAGCTAAAGTAAAAGACGCGGTTTATTGATGGATAAATGATTTTATCTTTGGCCAGTGTAAGCCGTGAGTCCGAGTTTAAGCCGAGTGAGTCCAATATCTTTGACGGTAACTTTAAATTGATAATGGATGGAAATCGGGTCAATATTTGACCGCCTTATCAGCCAATTTAACTAGAAAGTTAACCTAATCAATGGACTTTATTAATTAAATATCGATCACTATTTATTTTGTACATAGTTTATAATGATTAGGTGCGCCGCAATGTTAATGTATTCTGCTCAATTACAGTGCTAGGATAATCAATATCGTTTCTATAATTCAACGTAATAATCTTGTAATTTGAAAATTGGTTGAGCTACAAAATAAATGCTTGTAAATGATCTTGTACTTTGTAAACAATGAAGATGAATTAATAAATGAATTTTGGAAAACATAATTTGCCTGCAATTTGTTACTATTTAAACGCCACGTTATTTAATAATTAAAAATCTCGCAGATGATTAAGTGTTCACAGAAATCGTCCACCATTCTTCAAATGCTAACAACAGTTCAACGCTCTGCAATCATTCTGTACTAAGAATACAGAGAATGCTGATACGTGGAATACTAAGAATAGTTCGGAATAGCTGCGGAACGTTGAAGAATCATGTGGAATAATTATGAAGCATCGCAGGACATAATACAGCACAGCGTATAAATAAACCTTTTTCGAAATACATCTCGATTATCTCCTGTTTTGTATTCGCGCTTATCGTTATTAAATCGTGCCCCATAACAAATTTATGAGCTATGTGCATCTTGAAGTTTCAGGGCAGTGCGCACAGGTGACATTGGACAATTGCAATCAGTTATTAATGTTCGATACCAGTCAAAGCGCCAATCAAATTTTAATCAAGTGCAGTTTATATTGCTCGACATGGAAAATATTTGCACGATCGACCTAATTATCATTGTCCCATTCGGATGCAATATCGTGAGTATATTCGCGGGAATACTCGACGTCGTAAAGCAAAAAAACAACAAATTTTTAAACCCCCCCCCCCAACCCATCCAAATCCACGCCCTACCTCACATAAACTCTGATACATAAATTCAAACTATTAATATACTTTTGCAGCGAGAGATACGGCCGCAATTATTTCGTCGATCGCATCTAAGTCATTGTCATGCGGAAAGATGGATGCCGTTATCCAGTGTAGGTAAAATTATTGCCAACGTCGGATTTCGAACGCGGGCGGAATTCTCCACGGCTCACAAAGGGAAGCGAAACTTCATTCGCAGCGGAAGTCAGGATATAAACCAATAAGCGTCGTGAGGGGCTCGTAAACAAAAAATAAATCTACATAAGCGAAAAGGAAGAGCATCAAAAGCTTGTCCCGGAGACGCAGTCGATCAAAAATAAAGAGTCAAGGAAGGGAGACTAAAATATATTATGATAAGCGAAGCGTGGCTGCGCCTCGGCTCGAGAGCGGGAATGGCGCAAGACGAAACAGTTTAGCGAGCCCGAAAAAGAATGTGCAGAAGATGGCCGAAGAAACGGGGGAGTAAAAGGCTAGCGGCGTGATGGGCACTAGTTACTCAAAGATAGAGATAGATGAAACAGAGAGACAGAGAGAGAGAGAGAGAGAGAGAGAGAGATTCTCTACGCTTTATTAATACGTCGTCATTTTGCTTTTTATTCAATACTTTAAAACGCGCTATTTACGCTAACGAGTAAGCCTGTCGTATTATACGGTTAGAAATTTGAACAGCCGTTTACGATTGAACGGTGGTGAGGATAAAGGAGGTGGGGTAGGGGTGGAGAGTAGATAGTTGCCTGTTGTTTTGACAAGAGCTCCTCTATTAGATAGATATCGCGTATGTATGTATAGATTTACGCGCGTACGTGAGTGCGCGTATAGGCGGCCCCGAGTTAAACCGATTTGTGTGTCAAATTGGCGGACGGCTTTACGGACGAAAACATCAACCACGCACAATGTTCCATCCTATTTTTGTAAAATATCATTTATGAATTGAAATAAATAGCACGTCCACTGTATTATCGCGCGATAAGTTTTATTTATTGCGTTTGATGTTTTATTGACAAATGAAAAGGAAGGAAATGGAGAGACAAAAAATGCCGTATACATTTTATCGATTTAGGTTTGCCTCTTGTTGTCGTTGCAATCTGCATATGAATTTGCTTTAGTTTGTCATATTCGTATCCAATTGTTGTTTAGTTTACTTTCCATGAAATGGAGACGAAGAAAAAGTAATACTTTCGGTTTATCGTCACTATCGTTACACGCATTGTCCCAAACTATTACTTTTCTCACGTTTGTACGCTCGGTAAAATTGAAGTATCTCCAATAACGCTCAATTTTTGTGGATTAGATAGCCCGAATGTATTATGCATTTGCAAATTGCGCCTAACAATTGCACGCAATAATATTATTAACTATTTGTTGAATGTATTGCATTAAAAGTTTACAAATGGCTCGTTTATCGTTCCGTTAAAATAAATGGGCGCCATTCGTTCGCCGTTGAAGCGTTGAAAAGCTTAAGAGAAAATTGCAATGAAAATATAATTTTTAAAATAGAAACTTTCAAAAGATTGGCTTCTGCCGCATCTGTAAAATTACCTTTTACTACGCTCCTAATAAAGTTCCTTAAGGGCGCAGTATTTATTTTATCAGTATATAAAATGTGTATTTGGAAAGGAAAAAGACAATTAAGAGGCATGAAAATTTAAAAGCGAATAAAAGGTAAAATATCACCTTTAAATGTTAACATTAGTAACGTAATTATTTTATTTCCCAAGAGTCACGGAGGAGCCACGTATCCCCCGTATGCCGCATAAAATTTTACAGTGCACAATATTCGCATAATCGTATAACTCGACGGACGGCCAGCATTCCTCCCGTCATCCACCATGGCATGTCTTAAACAAATTCCTGAAATAATCCCGGGGGAGGCTGTGTGCTGTGCCGGGACAGTACGCACGAAAATGAATCTAATGTTATTTCAGGGCTTGGGGGCGGCGCGGCGTGGGACATTTTTCGACGGGGTACTGCATGTGAGTTGCGATAAAGGGGTGCGTGTGTGGCGGGTGGGGGGGGGGGGGGGGGGGGGGGGGGCAACGACCCACAAACGCGCCTTACAAACGCGCCAACTCATAATGCGGCTGCATCCAATCGTCCAAAAGGTCCATCGAAGCGACATTTTAGCGTCGGGCCTTGGAGCTGCAAGATAGCGGCCGCGCTCGCATGAAAAATCGACGAGCTACTCCGGGCTCCTTTCAATAATCCCCAAAACGTGACTGCGCGGCGCATCCGCCTCGAGGGGCACCGATTAATAGGCCCTGAGGCAGACCGCGTCGTATTCCAGCATCTCGGGCCCCGACGAGGCCGCGAACAACCGGCCGGCGAATAAAACGAGGGCGCCGCCGCGACCACTAAGCCCGTGGCAGCGTGCCGGGGCACGTAACGCCGGTAGTTCCGTCTTAAAATCTAGGCGCATAATCGGGCCCGAGGCTTTTTCACGCGCATCCGTGACGCGCATCAGTGGCCGCCGGATCACGTCTGATTTATGATGGGACGCGATATCCGGCCCCGCGAAAACGCGAGCCAAGCCAATAAAAGCGGCCCTTTCGCTCAAATACCACGGCCCGTTGTTTTTTCTCTTTATTTGGTATTACATCGAGTCGGTTGCTTTCAATTGCTGTTGGAGTGACGAGGAGGCGACTCGAGAGTTCCAACTGTGCGCCCTATTATACTTTTACCGGTCAGATGAAGTGATTTAGCTCGTTAACGGCAACTTGCGCGCCGTTCCGTGGGAAGTGAGGGCTTTTCGGAAACTCGATGGATGTATTTATCCTTGGAGAAGTATTAAAAGCGTGAGATTAATATCTCGGCCGGCGTGGCGCATGCTTGACATAAGATGCCGCGGATGTGTATTGCTATTTGTACATAGCGAGAACCTGTATGATCGTGGATGCTTACGTTTGATGAGAGTGAGATAGCTGATGAAAAAAAAAAAAAAAAAAAGAGAGAGAGAGAAAAGAAAAAAAGGTTATAAACGCTTCCATGATATATGTTTGCCCGATCGCTGTAATCAAGATAAGCAAGGAATTTCATAAGGCAAAATTTCACAACTTTTGTAATTATCATTGCAGGTATAATTATGAAATGTACAGTTTTTCTACGGCGCTCGATAACAATGGTCTATTAAAACGGAATGCATTCTTTATAATATTAGAGAAAAGCAGCCATTCGTATCCCTCGTCAATTTATTTATGTTCGATTAGTCTTGTCAAATATTTTAAAGGCACCATAATTCATAATCATAATTCACGGGCTCTGTACATTTTTTTCACGACTACCGTAGTTTCGTAAATCATCGATCAAGCAGCATTGGCATTACCCAAAAAAGTCTGGTATTCAACTTGCCTACATTCTTTATTCAGCTTACAGCTCCGTAGCTTATTAAATCGCCTTGCATTTAAGAGACTCATTGACTAATAGATAATTATGTAATATACGATGCCATTGCCATCCGAAGGTTACATTAAATATGACTGCATTTGCTTTCGGCCACCTTCCACGTCGTTCTTATTACTATTACTTTTCCAAGATTAAAGCCAACTCTCGCGCCAGTGTTACTAACTTGAATTTCTCGTGCATTACCTCGGGCTTCGAATGCAACGTTTAGCGCGCATTCGTAAATTATTCATCAATTACTGCTGCGTGCGTATATGTTGCTCGAGCAATATGTTAATTGGAGAGGATTCGAATTTCGGGGCACGAGTTTACTCCTCTTCTGCAACGTTCGAATGAAATTTCGTGGCACGTCAACTCCAGACGATAAAACCGTCCGCCGTTATTGATGTTTTGACGCTGTTGTGTGCCCGAAACTTTCGTCCGATTAATGCCGCTCGCACGTGGCAAGAAACATCGTCCCGGACCGAGAAAAACACGATATAAAAAAATGCCTCTTTCTATTTTCATTTTGGTAGACGGAAAGCCGTCTACGACGTTATCGTCCTTGTGCTGCCGCTTCCTCAATATTCATTCTTATTCAACAGCAACGCCACGATACATCATCGACGCAACGTGGCCGAAGGAATCTTCGCACGATGTATAATTACTCGTTGTGCGGAGCGATTAGCCCATTAGAAGGGCATCGATGCATCGTCGCCGCGTTCACTTACAAAAGAACAATAATCGTCACGGAATGATATAATTATAGAATGGGACCTCGAAAATCTCGTGGTCGTCTCATCAATAACGAATCGATAGGCCCGAGAGAAGGAGGAGGAAAAGAGCGAGCTTATCGCGTTCTCTTCCATCCTCGATCTCAGT